AGTCCACCTGCTGGAGTAGTTACGTTGTACCAGTTCTGGCTCACTGAGTCAGAAGTGGTACAAGTACAACGTTCGTCGACTTACGATCCTAAAAAAAAAAGGTTTTGGCATGCTGTGATCACGAATCTGCGGTCCGTTTTTGCGTAGGATGCACGTTTCCGGAGATGTGCAGATCAATTAACTCTTATCTAATTGATATCCGGTGAGGGCTTCCACCGTCATTAGCGCTCCATTGTTCTTATCTAGTGTTCATTGAATACCGTCATTATCTATTCGTGCGTCGGATTATCAGTGCTATTATATTATACTCCTTTGTTCCAAACTGCAACGGTAATCTGAATCATCAATAAAATACATTACCTATTTTTGTTACAATTTTTATTTACGAAATACAAAATCTTATTACTTATTATCTATAAAAAAGAAACATCCATCCACAAATACACACCCACACAAAACCCTAAAAATAAAATATTCGCCACAAACTGATACAAAATCTTATTACTTATTATCTACATATAAAAATAGGAGCGAAACATCTCATCCACTAAAATATCGTTGTACAATGTGTTCCCCGTAAATATACTCGTAAAACTATGCATTAAACATCCCTGAAACTTATATAGCAAATACATTAAGCAATATTCGCCACAAACTGAAGTCCACTCATTCTGAATCCTATCAACATTCCAGTTCCATCTTTTACAATTTCTTTTTAAAAACTCTAGATGATATCGTACAGGTGCTCGTCCGTATGAATCAAAATATAGACCAACGTCATTCGTATCGATATATAAAGCTACCCATTGTGACCCTGGTTTATCATCTGTATCCAAATTGCATATTATATACGTTGGTACGTGGGTGTACATGGGCAGTCTATTAGCAGCAAAACATATATAAGAACATTCATAGACTTAGAATCTTTTTCAGATGTTGTTGTACATCTAGTGTATCCATGATATTACTGCTATTAGTAGATTATTACAGTACAATCTACTCAATGACTAACATAGGAATGATCGATTATAGTGATTTCTAAATATTAAATTGCATTATTTTGTGTTATACAAAACGTATTTGAGTCATCAATACACTGAACAAGACGCAACACGAAGTAATGCTGAGATAAGCAACAGAATGTGAGATAAGCTTGTTGACGCATAAACTTACTATCAATTCCACTGCAGAAATTCTTTAGATTAGAATTATTACTTACTGGTACTATATAAGACCAAGCAACTGCAGTCATGGAGTTAGTGTATGGTCGTTTGACCGCAGTGGATCTATCAATACTACATTTGTGTTACTTCAACGCATCAAAATGAGATGACGACAAACTTACTTTTCTTTCTGTTATTTTCTTACGTGTGTATGATTTAGTGTTAACAAATTATATTTAAATATTGTGTGTGTGTATATGATTAAGCCGTGGTAGCTCAGATGGTTAGCGCAAGCTGTAAATTTCACAGTACGCGATCCGGGTTCGATCCCCGCCGGCACCAATTAAATTGTTAATTGCAATTTTAAGTGTTTATTACAACGATATTTTAATCTTTCGCTGCTATTTTATAGATATAAGTAATAAGATTTTGTATTTCGTAAATAAAAATTGTAACAAAATTATGGTAATGTATTTTACACCAAAATTGATGATTCAGATTACCGTTGCAGTTAGGAACAAAGAAGTATAATATAATAGCACTGATAATCCGACGCACGAATAGATAATGACGGTATTCAATGAACAATAGATAAGAGCAATGGAGCGCTAATGACCGTGGAGGCCCTCATCGGATATCAATTAGATAAGAGTTAATTGATCTGCACATCTCTGGAACCGTGCATCCTACGCAAAAACGGACCGCAGATTCGTGATCAGAGCATGCCAAAACCTTTTCTTTATTATTATCGTGAGTCGACGAACATTGTACTCGTACCACTTCTGACTCAGTGAGCCAGAACTGGTACAACGTAACTACTTGCTGGTAAGTAGAGGCTGTCGCCCATAGACATCTACATTTTTTCTCTATTAAGAATCAATACGCAGATGCGTTTTCATCTCTGAAGACTAAGATGGAATGCCTCGTTTCCAGTAAAAAAGGGTCTCACACACCATACGAAACACAGCAGTATTAAGCTGCTATTTTACGCTTCCTTCCTGGGTCTAGACGATCGAATCGTGCTACAACCATAATATAGCTGCAGCATAACTCTACCACGTATAAAAGTAGTTTGTCTACTCAACATTGGTGCATGTACCTAGTGAATATAATTTGGAAGCGATAGTAGCCTAATGGCAGGGTGCGGACCGCGAACTCAAAATGTCGTGGGTTCGGATCCACCATTGCATTACTGTTGTGAGCTACTCCTGACAAGTATTTAAGCTCACCAGGAGTGATTAAAGACAATATTAGTAATGTTAATAGAATAACTATTTAAAATAAAATTATATTAATGTGAATGTATTAAAGCAGTGAATATTAGGTGCTAAAATAAAAAGGCACAAAAATAATCACAATGCGGCATCTATCGCATTTACCACGTCGAGAGCTCTGAGGAATCGTTCATATTAGTTCCAGCCGCTAAATTTCACCAACGCACATCACGACAAAACTCACGATACCATCCATCCACCACCATAGATGTTTGATGGTCCCTTTTTCAAAGCAAATAAATATTCATTTCATTTACACCACAGTACGTTTTACTAGGAGTTTTCTTCCTCTTCTTCTTCTTCCTTAGCACCGGCGATTATTATACGATACGATGACAACTTTGTGACCTTCAAGAAACGAGCTTACTTACCTTTTTATGAGGCCTTCATGGGCGGTGATCATCACTTACCATCAGGTGAGCCGCAAGCTCGTTTGCCCCCTCTTACCTCTTCAATAAAAAAATCCATAATGTTTACTTCTCTTGGTGCAGTCGCTTCGTCCTCGAAATTATGATCTCACAAATGAAAATTGGGAAAACTAATGACGATAATGGACGTGAATCTATCTCAAGCTATACCACGACTGTACTAGCGTCGGCTTTTAATGAATTTCAAATCAATGTTAGATTGTTTGCGGCAAACCGATAAAATAAAGAATTTAGACAAATGGGTACAACACGAATTAAGGACGCGCAGCTGAATCGGTATAAAAAGGAGGAAATTTTGAGTCGAATTGTTACCTGCGATGACAAGTGGATCATATACGACAATTGCAAGCGTTCATCACAGTGGTTATATGGAGGCATTATAATAAGGGGTTTAATCAAGTGACATTTCGAACTTTGTTATAATTTGTACAAACACATTCGTTTTGTATTAAATAATTATGCATCAAAGTTACGGTTCCGGTTAAGATAATTAATTTTTGCCTTATGATTCAACTGTTCTTAAACCGCAGCATTGAATTAACAACCTAAAATGGTATTTAATTCGTTAATGCGTATCACCACACGCGCAAGCTTTCATCCGTTCGAGAACAATGCGCCAGCGTCGGGGTGGTCCCAGCGGGCAGGGGAGCACAAGAAGTAGACTCCACTTTACGCAAACATATACCTTTAAATCTAGACTCAGAAGTCAAAGAACTCATCCTGTACTCTCTCCTGCGGCGGCCAGAAACGAAATATTAAGTTGACTCTGCTACTATTTGCAGTACTAGAAGAAAATGACAACCTAGAGAAAATCACCCTACGATTTATGGTTCCTGGGCATAGTTTCGTAGAAAATGATAGCGACACACTCCACAACTCTATATTGATGTGATGACCAGTTGTTGTAAGAGAAACAAGATGACAGTTACCAAAATGGAATGTTTAGATTTTGTCGGAGTTTCTTAAATGCTGAAGACAATAGTAAGTAGAAAAAAAGATATAGAAGGAAATACTATAAGCTGGTTGAAAACTAAGGAAATAAACATTTTTAAGAATAGACCTGGTCGGATATTTCTTTCAACCTGTCATAGCGGTCGAACCCATGAAGGAGATCTCAATAAAAGACCAAAAAGAGGGGTAATAAATAACTCATTGATATTATAAAGGCATTATGAGCTTCATTAGCCGCAAGGAAAACTTACTTCTCAACCGAAGTGAGATGATATAAAATCCCTCCTTCACCTCATTCCATCTGATACGACAAATATTACAAAGATTTAACTGGATCTCGTGATTTAGAAGATGGTCTTGAAGGTTTTGATGGACCCATTGATTTTGAAATAGGAGATGAAGAATAAAAATAATATAGTACAGTGGTAGGTAATGAATAAAAGAAAAAAGATAGTGTTACAACATATTTTGTTTTAATTGAGTACATTTTATTAAAACAACTGAATTTAATCTTATGGTCTAATTAATTTCACCCGAAACAAATCGCAATAAAGTATCAAATGACAATAATGTCGTATAGCACGTTATTGATAAATTAAATAGTCTGAATATGACTTAAAAACATTAACAAATTAAGCGAAAAATGGCTATAACTACAAAACTATATAGCCTTATATTTTTAACTAATGAGAACTTATAAACATTTTGTGTCTTCAGGATAAAAATTATACTCTAAAAGTATTAAATGTATGCACAGCAACAATTTTAACTTTGAAAATTTTGAAGCTCATTTTCTCAGGTTTCGTTGTGGTTCTTAATCGGTTCTTACATAACGCAGTTCAATTATACCTATATATAATTATATTTCTTATAACTATAATGTCTATTTTAATTATAGTAACAACATAACGGATAATTAAGATTATGTTGTAATTCCGTTAAGGATTGACAATGTACTAATTCTGAATTTTTATTACCTACTTCGCTGCACACTCCACACCTCCACACTCGACTGCGCAGTTTTTAAGTGGCAAGACCTGTTTGCCAAAATTAACCGGCATAATGTTTAAGTTTAATATACTCGACATTATATTTCTAAATTTGACTGTTTCAATACTTTTCCTCGGTAGCTTAATTACGAAATATGAAAAACATTTGCCTGTTTTACTAATAAAATTCTACAGATATGGCAGTTTTGGTTACAAAGGCCGCGACGGTAAAATTTTGCAAGCCATCGAACTGCCTAAATCTTATTACAGACATTTCTACGTGTTTGCTGCCCTGTTCAGTAACGTGACTTTGGTTTATATGTTTATGTTGTATTTTATGAATTTGGAAATAAATACATACGTTCATGCAATATTGAAGGCCATTTTTGAACAAGAAGAACCTGCAGGTATGTAGTACTTAAATGAATTAATTCATCAGATATAATATTGCGAGTTTTATATTTGATTATAAATAGGGCTCTCATCATCACTTTATTACACATTTTATTACGTGGTAGAGCCATGCTGCAACTATATTATGGTTGAAGCACGAATGAGTCTACTCGACCGGGGAAGGACCAAGCTCTCACAGAACACCAGCATCTATTATCTTGATGTTAATGCTGTTAATCTATACGACTCTTACAGCTTCATCTTGTCACAGGGCTCGCGGCCTGCAAGGCCGCGAGCTAATTAAAAAGGGAAAGGCAATGAGGTGAAATGATGATGAATGATTTATGATTTGATATTGTTATCAATCATCATGTCGCCTTTTAGGCGTTTTTTTTCCTTGAGCTATCTAACCGCAGTCCGAGGGGGGGTGTGCGGACCCCCGTCTCTGACTGCTCAGCTCGTGTCGGTCGATGTTCTGGGCGGTGAGAACCGTCCAGGAACGCGGGTGTACGGTGTGTACGCGGTGTGAGCTGGAACGCGTCGTGCCCGTCTGCGGGTGCGACGCGTCCCATTCGTTGTCCTATTAGTGTTTGTCCCACAGAATACCAGCGTAAAATGCAACTTAATACTGCTATGGTGAGCGTGGGGCCACCGGTAACCCTTCTTACTGGAAACGCGGCTTTCCTTCTCAGGCCTTAGTGGTGACTGGTGACGACGCATTTTAATTCTCAATCGAGGATAGATGTGGTCCAGGTCCTTCGGCGGTCGAAAACGTTAGTGACAGACAGCAGACACTTAGGTAGACAGTATTTCGTAAGTGTTTCGTTGTGCTAATTTTGGCATGGACACTAATGATGGTTAACCGAGTCTACGTGTGGAAAACTATAGGAAAAGGTATTAAAAACATTCAAATACAGCTTATTTTCCGCTGTTTATGGACAACGTCAAACAAAGAAGGCTAAATTTTATGCTGTAATTATTTTGGCTCTATTATCAGACTGAATTACGTGTACAGCAATATTATAGGTCCAGGTACAGCATATGGTGGCAGAAAGTTTTTCAGTGGTAGATCCATGCTGCATTTATGGTTGTAGCACGGATGGGTCGCTTCGACCAGAGGAGGACCACGCTCTCACAGAATACCAGCGTAATGCTGCTGTATTTCGTATGGTGAGTGTAGAGAACCGGAGATCTTTTTTACTGGATACGAGGCATTCCATCTTTGTCCTCAGGGATCGCAAGGACGCATCTGCATTTTGATTCGTAACCGAGGATGGATGTAGATGTCTATGGGCCACAGCAACCACTTACCATCAGGTTAACTGTGTGCACGTTTGTCACCCTTATTCTATAAAAAAATGATGTCAGAATAAACACCTGACCGTCTACTAATCAATCTCGCAATCGTTTACATCATAGTTTTTTTATAGGATAGGGTGACAAACAAGCACACAGTCCACCTGATGGTAAGTGGTTGCTGTGGCCCATAGACATCTACATCTATCCTCGATTACGAATCAAAATGCAGATGCGTTGTCATCCGTGAGGACTTAGGTGAAATGCCTCGTTTCCAGTAAAAAGGGTCTCGGGTTCTCTACACTCATCATACGAAACACAGCAGCATTAAGTTAATATTTGACTCTGGTATTCTGTGAGAGCGTGGTCCTTCTCCGGTCGAGCCGACCCATTCGTGCTACAACTATATACTAATATAACTGCAACATAGCTCTACCACGTAAAAAATCAATTATACTAGATTTTTAATTATTCAAAACAAAAGACAGCAGAGGTTTGGCGACGAAAACGACTAATTCTTTTATTGATTGTTCCTACATTCAACTCAAGACAATGTTTTAGGGTCGGCAACAGCGGCTTTCATAGCAATGAGCCTTATAACATTCCATTGCGTGAGGCGATGCTACGAGTCTCACCTTCTCCAAGTGTTCGCGAGCTCTGGCAAGATGAACATATTTCACTATGGGACTGCCTACGTACACTATGCAACAGTTATTTTGGCCACTGTTGGAGAAGCGCCGCTATTTTGCGGTAAGATCCATAATTAATAAATAATTTAGGTACAATGTGATTTGAAAAAATACTATATATAGTGAGCATTTGCGTCAGACTTAAAATATGCATACCGGCGACAGAAGTACCGTTAAAAGAGTGTAACGTCTGATACGTCGTTTGCATTCCTTACTATGAGAGAGACCCAGGCAGTCGCGCCCGATTTAGAGTTACGACAGCCCTAGGCTAACTATGAATATGCGCCCTCCGGCTTGCCCTACCCCTACTTAATAGATTTGTTTTATTTTACTTATATCTTTAAGCCCCGCAGTTTCGACCACATTAAATTAAATTTTCCTGTGAGATTATGGTATTTTGTCGCGGTAAAGGATCTATTCTCAGGATACATTGAGTTTATCTCCTTGCCTTATCGATATCTGTTCAGCAGGTGTTAAAAGGTATTAGATAACCATACAGACTGATTTCTTCCGCGTTAATAAAATTATTGTATGTAAGTAGTTTTTTTTATATTCAATTGTATGTTAATTAAGATAATTATCAAGTTTTTTATTTATGGTGTGTCGTAACTAATTAAATTAGAGGTTGAGAAGAGAGCATAAGCAATTTAAGTTGTACTTCGAATCACAGCCAGTCTAAAACGTAGTGATTATAATATTCTCTGAGACAGTCAGTCAACAAAAAACGAAAGTCACCAAATATTATAAATTCTGATTTTTACAATCTATTTATTTATATATAGGGTAATAAAGCTTTCCAATCCAATCGGCGAATGTACGTATAGAGGGCAAACTAACAGATGCTCGGAAATCTTACCTGGAGTACATTCTGGCAGGGATGTATTCTCTCGCCAATTATTTTCAACACTTACTCAGAGATGATTTCCGTGAAGCATTGGATCGAGTGGATGTAGGTATCACATTGAATGGTCAGATTATTAACAATATCCATTATGCCGATGAAACTGTACTTATTGCATCTACAATGGAAGAACTTCAGATCCTTATAGATAATATTTAATCTGTTAGTTCAGCGTATGGCCTCAGTATCAACACCAGCAAAACCAAACACACATAAGTAATTGATATTAATTCGATACTCTAAAATAAATACAGAATATCGATATATCGAGATTAAAAAATCGACAATATATGTACATCGATATTTTTATGAGAACATATCGGTAATTCGATATTTTATACCCAAGCCTAGTGCTGACAATGTGGTGATTGCTACCAAGCTATACATTTAAAGTGATTAATCTAATAGTGTACAAAATAATACATAAATAAGTATTAAATTAAATAATATATTGTAAGTGCCCAATCTGTTTTTTTTAAAGTCCCCCTAGGTTTTTTGCTGTATCTTTCCACGTGAAAGGTATTTTCAACCGACTTCAAAAAAAGGAGGAGGTTCTTAAATTAATTGTATTTTTTGTGTCCTCAAAACTTTTTTTAGGTGAATCGATTTTGATGATTTTTTTATTTGAAAGCTGGTTCTCATGTGGTCCCATATAAATTTGATCAAGATCTTACTACTAGTTTTTGAGTTATCCTTAATAATGCGTATTTAATTAACTTCGACTACATTGATGATGTTCCGATTTTCGTATTGAATTCAGTTGTAATTTTCTTAAATTTTGCCACTAGTTTCACTTCTACTTCTAGAAAAACAAACCAACCAGCTTTCCAGCTATGGTACCTAGCATTTTAATACAGACTGCCGCATTGCTCTTCCAAGAATGTGCCCGCCGACATGCGTTACTTGGAAGATGCCCATACTCATTTGAATGAAACTTTTTTCGATACAGTTTAAAAATATCGATTCGAAATATATCAATATTTTTTTTCGCTTGACAATCTCTGTCTATGCATAAATAACGCTGCTATTTCACGCTGAAGTTCTGTTCGATCGTAGTCCTCTATCCGAGCCGACCCACTCTGCAGCCGTAAATACACCCATTACTTTTATTTATTTTTAAATATCGTTCCAGGTGATCGAGTAAAAGAGAACATTCGATGGGTAGATACTCGAACTCAAATTCTACATATACCTTGCATTCTGATTTTCCTTCTGGCCTCTTACGAGCAGTATAGAAGCAACGTCATACTAGCAAACCTGCGTAAAGACAAGAAGACGGGGGCCGTAGTCACTGAGGAGCATAGAGTACCGCGCGGCAGATTGTTCGAGTACGTCTCCAGTCCGCACAGACTATGCGAAGTTATCCTGTACATAGTCATCGCTGTTCTGATACCTACGAAAACTATACTAATTATGTGTTTCTGGGTACTTTGTAATCAGGTGAGTTTACTTTAGTGTAAAATTATTCCTCATCCCAGAGGTGAAGCGTCGAAAGACTTGCTACCCGCATGGTTCCGCTAAGTCCAAAAATGTCGTAAATCATTTTTATAAGTCATAAAATCTCAACGCTGCTGTGTTTCGTATAGTGAACCGGAAACCCTTAGTACTGGAAACGAGACATTCCATCTTAGCCCTAACAGGTGACGAGGCATCTACATTTCAATTCATAATCGAGGATAGATGTAGATGTCTGTAGGCCACAGCAACCACTTACCATTAGGTGGACTGTGTGCTCGTTTGTCACCATTATTTTATAAAAAAATCTATGTAAATTATTGATAATAATAATAAAATGTACCTACTTTTATACTTATACCCTTGTCAAGATTAAGAAATGTGTGAAGATTATTTTAAATATTTATTGCTACAATATTCCATAAATTTTAATCAAGTCTTACTGAATGAGCTATTTTTCAGGTTTTTACTGGCATCAATATAAAACTTATACATCAGTCCCTCCCCCCACCGCTCCCGCTGTGTCATTGCATAACTTCATTTCCCAGACAGAAAGGGTGACAAACGAGCCCACAGTCCACCTGATGGTATGTGGTTGCTGCGGTCCATAGACATCTACATCTATCCTCGATTGCAAATCAAAATGCAGATGCGTTAGGAAGACAACGCATCTGAAGATGGAGTGCCTCGTTTCCAGTAAAAAGGGACTTTTTACACTCACCATATGAAACACAGCAACAATAAGCTACTATTTTACGCTATACTATTTAATATGCTGTCATTTAAATGATGGTAAGTGGATACTATGAGCAATAAACCATAACTCTTAAAACTTGTTACCTACGTATATGTATGGAATTTGTTATCAAATGTTTATATGCTTTATGAAAGCTGCCTCTCTGATTCATGGTGCATCTACATCTATCCTCGATTAAGAATCAAAATGCAGATGCGTTTTCATCCTTGAGTACGAAGATGGAATGCCTCGTATTCAGTAAAAAGGGTCCCCGGTTCTCTACATCACTTACCATACGAAACACAGCAACATTGGGCTGCTATTTTAGGCTGCTGTTCCGTGAGAGCGTGCCTCCTTCCCCCGGTTGAGCTGACCCATTCGTGCTACCATAATATAGCTGCAACATGGCTCTACCACGCAAAAAAGACATCTGTCAAACTACTTGCGATTAAGACCAATTAAGACAAATCCTAAAACAGAAGAGATCCACCTCCAACTGTGGATACCTATGGCTTAAAGATTAGTTAAATAATTGAAATCAATGGTTTTAATAAATAGAGTGTCAAATGTAAAACAAAACTTATTTATTAGCTGATGCGAATCCAGCGAAACGAAAAGAAATTCAAAAAGTCGATAGATGAAGGTGGTTCAGGACAGTGTTTTGTGGCATTCTTTGGTAGAGGCCTATGTTCAGCAGTGGACTTGTGAAGGGCTGTATCTAATGATAATGATGATGATGACGATAAACAATCCGCAGCTGGACATGAGCCCTAAGATATTAAGATTTTAATATAATTTCTAAGATGTCAAAATAAAAAGAATTCGAATTATAATCGATACTGATATATTTAGTTTAATCAATATGCTGAATAAATATCAGTCAGGCTTTCGTGCAGGTCACAGTACTACCACTGCATTGATAAAAGTCACAGACGATATTAGAATGGGAATGGATGAGCAAAAGCTTACAGTGGTAGTGCTTGTTGACTTTTCAAATGCTTTTAACACAGTCGACCACGATATCCTTATAGCCTTCCTAACTAATCTTAGATTCTCAATCCCAGCTTTGGAATGGTTTTCATCCTATCTTCGGCCGCCAGCAATCAGTACGATTAGGACAAGAGTTCTCAAGATGGGCTGACACTGAAACAGGCGTGCAAGGCGGAATACTTTCTCTATAATGTTTTCTTTATTCATAAATTCTATCACTTCAGTTCTCAACTGTTCGAACCATTTGTATGCAGATGATCTTCAGCTCTACGTGCAATCTAGTGTTAACGACCTTAACGATAGTATTCATAACTTCAACCACAACCTCGATGCCATAAGAGATTGGTCGTACAGACATGGTGTTTTGGTTAACCCAACCAAATGCAAAGCAATGGTTATATGTACTAGGTAGTAGCAGAATGTTAGCTAAGATTAATAACGATAATCTTGCTCCCGTATTTTACAATGGAACATTGCTGCCATTTTGCAAGTCTGTCAAAAATCTTGGCTTACATATAGACCATCCTTAAGCTGGGGAGTTCAAGTTGCCGAAACAAGCCGTAAAGTAACTGCCACCTTACGTTCTCTTTGTCGTCTCAAAAACTTTAAGCCTTAAAACTAAACTTCTATTAATCCAGACTTTGATATTACCCATTATTGATTATGCGGATGTGTTACCCAGATCTATCTCAATATCTTCTCGATAAGTTGGAGCGCCTTCTCAACAAATGCGTTAGATTCATTTTCGGCTTACGTAAGTACCTATGACCATATTTCCCGGTACCGATCTAAGCTTAAATGGCTCTCTATTCATCAAAGGCGTAGCTCCCGAACTTTTCAAGTACTACATTCAATTTAAATGACCCCAATTCTCCCTCTTATCTTCAGGATAACTTTCAATATTTGTATTCTACTAACGATAGAGTACCCCGTTCCCAAAATTGTCTTAAAATTCGTATTTCACCACATAGGAGTGGTTTCTATAATTCCTCTTTTACTGTGCAGTCCATACTGCTCAGGAATGCCCTGCCTGTTTATATCAAGTAAACTAATAACAAGAATTATTTTAAAATACTAGTTCGAGAGTTCTGTCGTAAGAATAATACCACCTGACTATCCGACTATTGTTTTTTTTCTCTCTTTCACTTTATAAGTAATATTTTGTATAATGTATTTTAATATGTAGTGTTATTTTATTTTTGTCTCATAATATTTTATTAACTTATAGATTTTGTATAGAAGTACCCGTTTATAAATATATAAACGGGTACTATCATATACTATATATTAAGTATGTATATTTTACTAACTATATCTATTCTATTCATTTGCATTTTATTTTGTTTTATATCCTTATTATTTATTTATGAAGTGATTGATTACACCTGCCACAGTTTCTCAAATCATCCAGGGTTGACTGGCAGAGAATGCCATAAGGCATTAAGTCCGCCCTTTATATCCCTTAGTATATAAGGTGTATAATAAAGATTAAATAAATAAATAAAATATGGTGTCATTTAACTCATTGTATTATTTACACAAAGAAACCAAAAGTCGAAAGTTGAAACAAAGCCAGTTACGATTCCCAACAGACTGTGTACTTAGTCGAGACATTACAAAATTTGTTGACAGTAAATATCATTAACCCTATAAACGTTTATTTCAGATCCAGTGTGCCGTCCACGCCCACGTCTGGTATAGAAAAACTTTCAAAGATTACCCCGATAATAGAATGGCCATTTTTCCTTATATATTGTGATTAACCGAATTTATTTTTTCTTAACTTTATTTAAAAATGCCATGTTTTATAATGTTATTAAAATTAAAATAAAGCAATAAATAATTAATAATCTGTTTGCGTAAAGAATAGAAAAGAAATAATATATAGTAAAGAAAGAAAGAAAGAAGAAACCAACAATACGAAGTAATAAATAGAAAGAGAGACTATTAAGGCCTGCGCTCACAGACGGCACGACACGGCACGACGCGGCGCGTCAAAGGATTTTTTTCATGGAAGAAAAGATTTTCGACCTTATTTTAATGATATTAGCACTGACACTAACTACTTTATGTGCTTAAAGGAATGTGAGTGCTAAGTAATGCAAACAAGGTTAAATCTAGTCCGTTGCGGTGGCGATCTCAACGAATTGCGCGAGCGCCCTATACACGAGCGCGTCTTGACTTGTTTGGCATGCCGCGGGATGCCACAGGATCCTTCGTCATGCCGAATTATGCCTTGCCACGACGTACTAAGCCGTGGCGTCTGTGAGCGCAAGCCCCTATAGTTATATTGTGCAGTAAGTATAAATGTTGCGCCCTCCTTTCTTCCAAGGAGGGTCGCGTTCGTATACGGCTTAGAGATCTCTAGTTAGACCGTTAAGCCAGTCCCTAAAAGGCGGTGTTTAGTGGGTAAAAGTCTCCACATAACCAGGCAGCCGGCTGCGTGGTATGCTATGAGCATTCACCGCCTCCCTCCCCCGCTTTCCGGAGGGTTGCCCATATTTGCTTCGGGCGCAAAAGTAAAAAGTATAAATGTAGAAGTGCTTTTGACTTCCTGGAACTGAAAAAAACACAGTGGTGCGGCCACAGGCTGTCCCTTCGAATCCGGGTCGAAAAACCAGTAAATGGTGGAGCGCTAGCGTCCCGAGTTCGATTCCCGGGTCGGGCCAAATCTATTATGCGAGATTTTACTATATTTGGACTGTATGCGTGGTTCTCTATAGTCAATGCAAGATGGCGGAAGTTGCACATGGCCGGGGTTTGAGCAATGCACCTGCTAGGATCTAATCCGCTGGTAAATGTCAACCACACAGCATTGGTTGTATTTTTTATTATTTACTTATAAGATTTTTGGCTCACATGCTTGTCCTTGAAGCAGTGTCTTCATTTCATTCGGGATCTTAGTTTTTATAGATGTTTTCTTATGCTGATACATCACATTACGAAGTATTTGGGTGATTAGACAACTCAACCCAGCGGACAGTCGATGATAGTAACTCAAGTTCTTAAGACGCCCAATCGAACTAAATAACTTGAGATTTCTATTAACATTGAAACACTTGTTTCATCGTATCCACTAGTTCCACAGTTCACATATCTGCGAGATACTTAATACACAAAATTGTATCACTTATACGTATCAACATCCACTACAAACCATTATTTAAAGCGATAAAACAGGAGCAACAATCCGCCGATGGTCAAATTCCCGCCAAAACTTAATATTGGTTGTACACATTGGCAGGCCTCTGTCACTCTCACTACTTGCGTGAAATAATTACCTACAATCGCGAGGCGCCCCGGGTTACATATGCAGTCGGGGCTATCGCGTTCTAGGCCATTGAATGTTAGTTTTTTAACGCTGTTTACGTAAATAGTTTTTTGTAGATACTTGTTAAGATAGTTTTTGTTTAGTCTTTAGTATATTTAATTGTAGAACAAAATAGTTGAAAAAGTTTTAATGTAATTTAAAAATAATATATACGTTTATATTATCTATTTGATAAATTATAACAGCAAAACGTCGTTCCTACTATAACTGTTGCGCAGATGGATGCTTAAGACGCTACCCTGACCAAAACCTGGCAAAAGTGCGTTTTTCAGACTCTATTATCTCATTAGTTATGAAAAATAAACTACATCTAAAAGTACATTATTAATGTTCGATATCTTATCATCGCATTCCACGTTCTAATTTATTTTTATGTGCTATAAATACATTTAAAATCAACTTTTAAAAAATGACTAAAATTCTTGATTACATGCATCTGTTGCTAAACGCAACGCTCTAATCATTTGAGGATAACACTGATGGATAGATAATGAAAAAAATCTATATTCTCCACGTTTTATTTAAATTTTTAAGTTCGTTTTTTCTCTTTTAATTGAAATAATTCCGAAAATTGTGTGACTTCTATGATAAAGGGGCGTGCGCAGAGTGCGGGCGGCATTACGCTGTATGCGTTCATACGGGGTAGCCGCGTCGCTGGTCGCCGCGTTTTGTATTTCGCCGCAAACATAATATTATTTGAGTACCTACCAACCGATGCGCTTACGTCACGGTATATTGTAACTCGGCCGTATCTTAGAAATAAATGTTACAGCCGTGCGGTACGTAAACATGCGATAGGGCTGCTGCTTCCAGTATTTTTACATTTGCCCATTGATTTATGTGTTTTATAACTCAATGCATTTTCCTACTTTGTGTTTCCATTTAGTTTTATGATTGTACTTAAATATACTTTTTTTATATAAACAAATATAATAGGTACTTTGTGAATTGAATAGGAAGTGTTCAATAAAAATGCGTGTCGTTTTATGATTGGTAGATTTAATTAAAAAACCATGTTTATGTTTGAATAACAAATCGGTCTTATAAATTTGCGGCCGAAAAATATTTGTGCCTCGGCTGAGACGTACGAAATGCTTTATTATTAAAATTTTAAATATAAAAAATCCGCATTATAATATAAAGCTTAATTAAAAATTGTTTTGGGAAACATGGACAAGTTGGAGTAAAGGAATATCTTTTACTTGGTTATAGATACCTGCAGCTATTTTACAATTTATATGTTTGGTTTTAAATGAAGTTTGGATTTATTATTTTTTATTTCTATTCTATTTTCTGAAAGGGTCCTAGGAAAGGAATTATCCACCGCGCTGCCCCACTGCGTGTTGGCGAACTTTGCATGTCTTCGAAATATTATTTTTCTTATTTCTCAGACATGCAGGTTTCCTCACAATGTTTTCCTTCACCACTGAGCACGTGGTAAATCAACACTTAAAATTGCAATTACAATATTATTGGTGCCGGCGGGGATCGAACCCGGTTTGCTCGCACACTGTGAAAATTTTAGCAAGCGCTAACCATCTGAGCTACCACGGCTCCTCTCCTCTCGAGCTAGAGACTTTATTTTATTTATCGTCAGGCCTGTTGGTCTAGTGGTTAGTGACCCTGACTGCTATGCCGTAGGTCGTGGGTTCGATTCCCACCCAGGACAAATGTTTGTGTGATGATTTATCTATAATATTTATGTATTTAGAAATATATAAGTATATTTATCAGTTGTCTATATACATAAATACAAAAATAAAATAAATACAAAAAATATACAAATAAATAAAGATCCAACCATATTAAATAAAAAATAGTCTCCTATCTTTCTCTCTATGTTTTGATCTCCTAAAACGAGTTTGAGTTGGTAAAATCAAGGCAAACTTAGGGTAAGGTTTGGAAATTCCGCGGTTTTATATGCGCAAGCGTGAACGTAGTTAGAACATAATATAACCTTTATATTTTACATAAATATCCTAAAAAACTTATTATTTTAATATTTTACTAAGTACCTATAAAATTAACAAGTTTATTGCATTTTTATTTGAGTAATTTTTTATGCAATTTCTTTATCTACGTCTATTTTTAGGAACCTTTATTTAGTCTGAATCATACATAACACTATATTACTGATTTACTTACTTATACGTAGTTTTTTTTTGCAGTTACAAATATCTTGTGAGGTTGAAAAAAGGTAGTAATGAAAAAATAATAAGAATAATAATAATTGACGTCAACAACCACTTTTCATATCATGGTCCATTAGGTTGCAGCTTCACCGAACCACAACTTATAATAATAATAATAACAATAATAATATAATATTATTTTGTATTTATTTTATTTTATTGATATTAATGTATATTTATCTTTTCATTTTAATTTATAATTTTTATATATTTAAATATTTATATAACCGAACCAGATGAGAAAATTATACGGCTCCAACGATTTTAGCGACGAACGCTTGGATTTATTTTTAGAAAATGTCCTTTTGTCTATGTTTTCAGGCAATAAAAAAACTGCTACAATATAAGAAGGTAAATTTCAACTAATCGTTAACGGTCGTTATAGCTCAGGTGGTATGTCGGTCGGGCGTGATATCGGAGTTCCGTGGTTCGCGTCTTGGCTTTGGTCCCGCTTTTTTTTCCTTTTTTTCAAGTTCCCTTCTTTTGTGAGAAAATTTATTATTTCAAACCCTTTTTTTAGTAATTTTTTAAAATACGAAAATTTTAATTTTAAAAATTAAAAAAAAAATATCTATTTAGTTACTAATGCTATATTTATTATTTTAATAATCACCTACCCAGTAGGTAAATATTAAAATAATAAATGTAGCATTATAAACAGTAAATCTCCCTCAAACTCAATTTACTAATATTGCTCCTAAATAAGGAATAGCAAATAAAAGATTAGTAGGTAATAACTATTGCTCCTCAAAATTATATTTGACCTCAAGGTAAAACATATCCTAAAATTCAGTAGCTAAATAAAATAATAATAACTACTATTCAAGTATATTTTCAATATGTAAGTAAATGAAAATAACAAAAATGAAGCACCATTAGCATGTAAAGTTCGAATCCATAATTAATATTTCGACAAATATTATAATTTACACTATAAAAAGCTAATTCAATATTAGCAGTATAGTATATAGTTAAAAATAATCAAAATAGTCATTTTTATTAATTAGATAATATATTAGAATACATAATTCTAATATAATGCAACTAATATACCGAATAAAGAAAATTAAAATACATTTATCATTGTACGCCATGTCTATTTCCATAGAAGAGTTCATTGACATTGAAAAAATAATACTACGTTCGTAGCAGTAGGTGGCGTCTTTTGGCCATTTCTTACGCGATATATTGTAGCGAGCGTCGACAGACCAAATGCTCAAGGTCGTTCGCTGGAGG